GCGGCGGCGAGCGGGGTCGGCGGCGGCGCGGCGGGAGGCGGGCGGCGGCGCGCGGCGCTAGGGTTTCGGGGGCTGGGGCGACTTGGGCCTCGGGCCTCGGGGGCGCGGCTTATAAAGCCCCGGGCTAAGTGTCCTAGCTGGACATGGCCCGGTAAGTCGGTTCGCACCTTTTTAAAAAAAATATTCCGAAGCGTAGAAAAACGATTAAAAGGAATAATAAACAGACTCCAAAAATCCTAAAATAAATTTTCCCCGTCCTCTAAAAATATAGTGGGCAAAGTGAACATATATTTGGGCCTCTAAAGCAACTTTGAAAAATGTTTTTTTCCTAATCCAAATAAAATAGCGATAAAACCCCAAATAAGAATACAAATATATTTTAATATTTTTCCTCAAACATTTCATTTATTTTGGAGAAGTCATATTATCTCCTCTCATTTGATTTTAATATGAAATATTTTCGGGGAGAAAAATAATTAAAACCAAAGTGATCCTGGTTTCAATATTTGAGGAAAGTTCAAATATGAGAACTAGGAAAATCCCCAACTCTCTCCGAGGGTCCTTGAGTTGCTTAGGATTTCGAGGATCACAAAACGAAATGCAATAAAATATGATATGCATGAATGACCTATGTATAACATTCCAAATTGAAAATTTGGGATGTTACAAACCTATCCCCCCTTAAGATGAATCTCGCCCTCGAGATTCGGGTTGGCTAGAAAATAGGTATGGGTGGTCTTTGCGTAGATCATCCTCTCTTTCCCAAGTGGCTTCGTCTTCGGTATGGTGGCTCCACTGAACTTTGCAAAACTTGATAACCTTGCTGCGGGTAACTCGACTGGCAAATTCGAGAATCCTGACTGGTTTCTCCTCATATGTCAAATCACCGTCTAACTGATTGCTTCCAGGGGCACTGTATCTCTTAGAGGAATATCGGCCATCTCAGCATGGCACTTCTTCAACTGGGAAACGTGAAACACATCGTGAACTCCTGACAGTCCTTCAGGTAACTCCAACTTGTAGGCAACCTCTCCCATGTGTTCTAAAACACGGTACGGTCCTACAAATCTCGGGGCTAATTTTCCCTTAACTCCGAAACGCTTAACTCCTCGCAGAGGTGACACTCGCAGATATGCTCTGTCTCCGATTTCATAGACTACCTCTTTGCGTTTCGAGTCTGCATAACTCTTCTGTCTGGACTGAGCTACCTTCAGTCTATCTCAAATCAGCTTAACCTTCTCCTCGGACTCCTTAATCAAATCCGGTCCAAACAACTGGCGGTCTCCAACTTCATTCCACATCAACGGTGTTCGACATCTTCTTCCGTACAGGGCTTCAAACGGTGCCATCTTCAAACTGGCCTTGTAGCTGTTCTTGTACGAGAATTCCGCGTAGGGTAAATTATCATCCCAACTAGACCCGTAGTCTAGTGCACAAACTCTCAACATGTACTCCAGAATCTGATTGACTCTCTCAGTCTGTCCATCTGTCTGCGGGTGAAAAGTTGTACTGAACTCCAGCTTGGTTCCCAAAGTCTGGTGCAGTTGGTGCCAAAACTTTGAAGTAAACTGTGTTCCTCTGTCTGATACGATGGTCCTCGGAACTCCATGCAGACATATGATCCTGGTCATGTATATCTTGGCCAACTTCGCACTTGTATATGTGGTTTTCACTAGGATAAAGTGAGCTACTTTGGTCAAGCGGTCCACTACTACCCAGATAGAATCATATCCTGATCGGGTCCTGGGTAATCCGGTGATAAAGTCCATGCCAAGCTTATCCCACTTCCATTCGGGTATCGGCATAGGTTGTAGTAATCCTGCTTGCTTCTGATGTTCTGCCTTCATTCTCTAACATACATCACATATGACTACATACTCGGCAATATCCTTCTTCATTCTAATCCACCAGAAACGCTCCTTCAAATCCAAATACATTTTGGTGTTTCCAGGGTGTATCGAGTATGGTGAGTCACGAGCTTCCTGTAATATCAACTTCCCAATCTCGACATTATTGGGCACAAATACACGGTCCTCAAACCACAAGGTGTCGTGCTCATCCTCATAAAATCTTTGGCTTTGCCTTCACTCATCTTCTCTATTCATAAGAGATGTGTGTGGACCATGTTCATCAAATTCACATCCAGTTTGACACAGTCTACTCTTATTTACAAGAGATTGTAGCGACTGTGAAAGCAAGCCAAAGAGATAGTTGAGATCTCCCCTATATATGCATACACTAGTACATCACCGGTGTGTTGCTACATGAGCTTCATTATAAACAAATGAATCAAAAAAATCATTAAGGTCTCGAAGGTCAAAGCTCATTTCTTCCTCATACATTTGAGCATGTTTGGACATCATCGGGTGCCCATTGGGCTCCCCAAAACTCAATTGTCTGGCTTCCACAAATTCAGCCCATATGTGGGGGAGAAATATGCTTGTCCAGACTATTAACCCTGTTATCCCCAGCGCGCACCCTAACACAAAAAACTCCACCCCCACGACGTACCCTTCTCTTTTTCTACCGGACCCTACACTTCCTGCTCGGTTTCCCGCCGAAGCGGATCATTTCTCGCTGGAGCCCTCTCTTTTAAAGTCGGATGACGCCCACCCCACCTTTGCCATGTAGACCTCCCTCCTTTAAAACTGGATGACGCCAACTGTTCCGCACTCTGCCCTTATCCTTTCCCCCCGTGTTCGTGCTGATCCACCAACGCCATTAATGGAGAGGAGGCATGCGCCTTCCGTTATGCCCCCAAGCCAAGAAGGCAGACCCGATGTCTTCTGAGCCATTGCCACATTGTAACATACATTTGAATGTCGTGTATTACCACGAAACAAAAATATGGTATCCGATGTTGGGCATGCAATTGATACGACACCTATCCATTATTAACTCTTGAAGCAGTCAACCAATGCATTTACTGTTCTAACCAAAAAAAGTTTTGTTATTAACACTTGAAGAAATCAAGCAATGTATTTACCTTTCTATGCAAACAAAATAGTTGTATGACTTGATGAAAAAAATATGACCCGCTCGCTCATGTAATTTGTTGTAAAACCATCACTAATGAATGCAATTTAAATTATCCTGCTCAGTTAGTTGTAACTAAGCAGACCAACCCAAACTTCCATCACGCTCACTCTCAACCCTCACTCTTATCACAAAATTCATCAACTCATATTCTAAATGAGCGAGTAATCGACGCCGCCATGGTAGGCTAGGGGCAACAGACAAGGGCGGCAACTGCCTTCCCATCTTAGTGCTATGGACCCCCCCCCTTCAAATTATTCACGTAAATTTTATTAATCCACTCCCATACATTTGAAAGATGTATGTTCTCGCATATTTTAACTATGTGATGCAAGCGTAGTTACATAGGAATGCTAATTTATCCCTCAATACTCAAATTCCATCAAGATGCACTTTCACCAATCTTCTCACATGAAACATATTATATTACTACAAATTCTTGCAGACAATGAGTGAAATTGGTTTCAAAAAATGAGTGAAATATGTTTCTGGAGAAGGTCAAAATAAGTTGTTTGAAATAATTGAATTCAATTTTTTAAATGAGTGGATTATTTTTTGAAATGAGTTAAATTAGTTACTGAAAACAATTGGAATCATTTTGTGAAACTGATTTTTTAATTGTGTGAAACTAATTATTTCAAATATTCAAAATTGTTCGTCTTCAAAAAGTACATTTCAGTGCTTTTTTAATTATGTGAAATCAACTTCTTTTAATGGGTGAAATCAGTTTTTGAAATGAGTGAAATTATTTTCAAAACTAAGTAAAATTAGTGGTTTGAAATAAGTGAATATGTTTTAAAATAATGTTTCACTTTTTTTAGTTAGTGAATAGATTGAAATATTTTTTAAATGAATGAAATATGTTTTGGCAAATTGCAAAATGATTTGTTTGAAATGTGTGAAACCTTTTTTTATTAGTGAAATCATTGTTAAAAACCTTGACCGGACCGTCGGTTGGACTGGATAAAACCAGGAACCGACGGCTTCAACAGCTTTATAAGCTAATTAGGTCGTTCTGCAAATGGATCAAACAAATCCGATCGAGCTAACCGGTAGCACACTTTTGCATTGTTGGGAAAGAGGAAAAATAATTGCAGCAGCCGAGATCGATTCTTCGGCGCTTGGAAACAGGCCGACGTCGCCAATTTGGCCCAACAACCAATCCCAGGTGTCAAATGATAGAAACTTAGTAACCTGTTTTTACATATTTTTTGGCTTAAAAAACAAGGAAATGAACTGTTGAACCAACGGACCGACCAGTAAAAATCTGAACCGGCAGCATCACCGGTTCAATCACCAGCCCAGTTTTTTAAACTATGAGTGAAATCAGTTTTTTTAGAACTTTTTCAAAATATATCCAACATATGTCTTGTTTTAAATGCCATATCGCCTTTAATTCAAATATTTAAACATTTCAAAACTAAATTTTGGTTAAGAAATTACGAGCAATTCAAAATATCGCCGCCAAAATAAAAAACGGAATGCCTTCTGTTTGGAGAGAGTCTTGTGTATGCAGTCAGCCGCCCATCCATGCACTCCTCTTGTCTTTCCTAACAACCATCTGACCTATGCATGCCAGTGTTGCTGTATTTTATGTACTCAGCACATTGATCTTGGTGCTAAGATGAACGGTACCAGATGTATAGGTAGGTACCGTTAACGGTAGATTTTCCACTTTCGGGTACTCTCTGATGTCTCACGCAAAGCAGGCCCGCTACACGTGCCGACCATGCAAGCGTTCGCCCATGCAGCTCCTCCGGACTCCCAACGATGGTGCAAGCCCGCTATAAATCGAACCGGCCGCTAATTGCTTTGCCCACTCCTCTCAGACGAGACACCAAACACTCGCCAGTGCACACTCCTCTCAGTCACAAACCCGACTGCTTGCGAATGTCTCCCGCGGCGATGCCGAGCTCCGGCAACCAGGGCAGCGGCGCACCGCTTTTGGTCTTCGTCCCGAGCGCCGGCATGGGCCACCTCCTCCCTTTCACCCGCTTCATCACCGCCGTCGCCACCATGGGCGTGGACATCTCCGTCGTGACCGCCCTCCCGACGGTCTCGCAAGCCGAGGCCGAGCACTTCGCCGGCCTCTTCGCCGCCTTCCCCGCCATCCGGCGCATCGACTTCAACCTCCTGCCGTTCGACGCCGCCGCCTTTGCGGACACCGAGCCCTTCTTCCTGCGGTGGGAGTCCCTGCGCCGCTCGGCCCATCTCCTCGGCCCGCTCATCGCTGCCGCCGCGCCGGGCGCGTCGGCCGTCATCACGGACGTCACCCTGGCTTCCGAGGTTATCCCCGTAGCTAAGAACGAGCTGAAGCTTCCATGCCACGTCCTCTTCACGTCCGGCGCAACCGTGCTGGCATTCCTCGCCTACTTCCCCGTCTACCTTGACGGCGCGAACGCAGACCACCTCGTCGGCGACGTCGACGTTCCCGGCGTTCGACGCCTCCCGTTCGATCACTGCCCGCGGGTGCTGCGCAACCCCGACGGCCTCTTCACCAAGCAGTTCATCGTCAACGGCCGCGAGATCGCCAAAGCAGACGGCATCCTCATCAACACGTTCGATGCCTTGGAGCCAGAGGCACTCATTGGCCTGCGGGGCGGCAAGGTCGTTCCCGGATTCCCTCCGGTGTTCGCCGTCGGCCCGCTCAAGTCGACGCCAACCACCGCGAGAAGTAGCGATAAGGCGGGCTCGCCTATCGCCTGGCTCGGGGAGCAGCCAGCACGCTCGGTGGTCTACGTCGCCTTCGGCAACTGCAACGCCGCCGCGCAGAAACAGATCCGCGAGATCAGCGCCGGGCTGGAGGCGAGCGGCTGCCTGTTCCTGTGGGTGGTGAAGACGACGATACTGGACCGGGAGGACACGGCGGAGCTGAGGGACGTGCTGGGCGACGGGTTCCTGGGGCGCGTGCAGGGGCGCGGCCTGGTGACCAAGGAGTGGGTGGACCAGGAGGCGGTCCTGAAGCACCCGGCCGTGGGGCTGTTCCTGAGCCACGCCGGGTGGGGGTCGGTGACGGAGGCGGCCGCGTACGGCGTGCCGATGCTGGCATGGCCGACGTTGGGCGACCACAAGATAATCGCGACGGTGATACGAAGCGGCGGCTTCGGGGTGTGGATGGAGCACTGGAGCTGGCAGGAGGAGGATTCGGAGGAGAGATCGGTGGTGAGCGGGGCGGAGATAGGGGAGAAGGTGAAGGAGGTGATGGGCGATGAGGCGATTGCGGCAGGCGCGGCCAGGATGCGCGAGGAGGCGGCCAAGGCCGTTGCCCCAGGCGGCTCCAGCTACCGGAGCATGCACGAGTTCCTCGCCATGCTCAGCTGACTGTTTTAGCGACCACTTTCTAAGCACCGCTACGTGACGATCCCAGGCTCCCAGCCCTTGGTATCAGGTTGGATGGATGCCTTCTCCTGGATCGTGGAGCCATGCGGCGACTTCTCTGCAAGGTCTGCTGGTAGTTGACTAAAGATCGCACCCGAGCAGTACGCAAGTGTAGTGTAGAAGCTTCACGGACCATACGGAGTATGTATCAGTGGGTGGGTTTTGTGATATGTCATAGAACGCACCACCACTCTCTAATAATTTTGGTGTTTTGGCCAAAAAGGGATAGGGTCAAGGAGTAGTCTTTAGAGCAAGTCTAGTAGAACACTAACCCTCAAACCCCTAAAAATAACGAAATTAATAAGTCCCGAACGTGCCGTTTTTTAGCATCTCGCCCCGAACGCCCTTCTGACCGTTAGATGACAACACAAATCTTAAAGCATGTCAGGCCAGACACGTCATCTCCTTTTTCGTTTGGAAAAGCAGGCGCCGCCCCCGAACGTTTCCATCCCCCACCCACGTGCGCACTACCTTATCCACTCCTCTCGCCTCGCAGTCCACACCCAAGCAAAACTTCTCCGCGGGGCACGGAGGAGGCGGCCATGCGCCGGCGACG